CCCCAAAACCCCAAAACCCCAAAACCCCAAAACCCCGAGATGCCGTTTAGAGACTGAAAATAACTAAATTATTAAATTTGACTTGAATAGTTGGAAATTAACCACTGAGTTGGGAAGATCCTTTGCTGGCTATTTCTCCTTCAGAGTTCTTACCCTGAAAGTCTACACTTTTGAAGAAGTTGTTGTTCGTTCGGGTGTAGGCCATCGGTTCTGAGTTACTCTTTCTGTTATTCCGGGTGTTACTATTTGAGGGCTTGCTCTCTTGTTGACCCACTCTGAATGGTGATGATGATGGGTAACTCACACTTTCTCGGTTGTTTGGGTTCAATCCACTGCTTGTTAAAGAACTTACTCTGCATTCAGAGCTTAGCCCACACATTCCTCTGATGTCTCGGAGACAGAAGTTGTTCTCAAGAATGCCCATGATGAGCTGGTAGTTGGTGCTGTCACTTTGTGATGACATCACTCTTCTGTCGGGCTCTGGCATCCCTGATCCAGATGGTGGTATGAATGAACCAATGTTGTGATTGAACACAATTGAATTGTTAGCAGATTGCCCTTGTGAGATCGGTGTGATCGTGATTTGTACAGGCTGGTTTGCACAAATCATGGTTTGCTCGGATCCACTATTGATAAATCAAAGATCTTACTTGAGCATCTTGATATTCTGGATGTCACATGGAGCTGTGGTTTTGATGCCATTGCCTTTGATCAAAATTTCACCTCCATTCAAGCACAAGTAGCTGGATGAGATTCCAGTCGATGCGTCATGGTGGTTTCCAGAACTGTCTTTGAAGTACTTCATTGGCTTACTTAGATAACCTGATCCATGTTCGTCTGAGGGCTTATTTGATGACTTGAAGAGTTGTTGGTTTGTCCTTTTTCTATTGACCAGGCCTTTATGCTGATTCATATGCTCATTATTCCTCTCAAAAGTGAACTCATCTTGCTCTTTATTTGACACAGCCTCATTATGCCTATTTGATGTCACACTGAGACCTACCTGGGACCCACTTGCTTCTGAATGATTGAGACTCTGGGATTCTGCAGCTGCTCTTCAATGTTGTGGTCCAGGTCCACTACATATTATGTGCAAACTTACTCTGATGGTTCCTAAGGTTCTTCATGTAGAACTCCACAGGGTTGTCCACTTTGTAGTTGTTGGTGATTTTCTCGAAGAACTTCTGTGCATGAGTCCTCACTTGCAGGCTGGTTCTGGTAGGGACTGACTTTTCGAGTTTGTCCCAATTGGTGCCGTGTTTTCTGAAGCCTAGGTATGAGGAGCAGTCTTACACTCGATGAACTGCATGTGTTCACTATTTCTCCATTTGCCTTTAATTTTAGACCTGTTGCTTCTTGTTTGAAGGTCTTCACCCTGAAAATAAAGATTAGATCTTAAAATGTTTCATTCCTTACTGAATTTAGTTTTGATTGCTTACTCCTCTTTGATTTGAGTTTATTATCTAGATAACATAATTATTTTAAACTAATTAGAACAATTTGGCAAAACCTTATTTAAAAGTAAACTTTTGATAATTTTGAGGTTTCGAAGAAAATGTTATTCAGATGTTGGTGGCCTATTTTTAAAATATAGTAATTTTCAAATTCTGAGCAATAAAATAATAATGCTTGATATCTATTCTGTGGTATGCCTCTTGGTTTGACAGAAGGTACGAAGGTCTGGGGAGCAGTCCATAATCTGACAACTTAGCCTAGTGAAAATTTTGTGAAAATGAATCTTGTTGCGATAATTTATCTTATGATCATCTGAAGTCTGAAGATCACCAGAACTCACTATTGGGGTTACTCCCATCAGATAAGTTAGTTGGCAAATATCTTCCACGACATCTATGTTTATTCCTTATTGTACCAACTTGAATGTTTCAAAAAATTTATTTTTATAAATTTAATAATGTCTGCAGTTTTATTACTCGAAGGCTTAATCTATTTATAAAGTTTGAAAATAAGGTTATTCATACCATTTTTCACAGTCATTTTATTGCAATCATTGATGAAGCAAAGACTTATGCCCCAGAATGATAAAAATAGACTCCAGGTGAAAGCCATCTTGATAAAACGAATGAATTGTATAAGATCATCCAAAATTTGCAAATAAATGTAATTTTATTAAGCCATTTATTTCAATCTAAGAGTAAATTGCCATGAATCGGTCATGACTTAGGCGCTAAATCTCTATCAACTTAACTATAGAGATATTTGCTTCTACCTATGTATCAGACTTGTCAGATTCTTTAGTGACTACAAAGGATTTTCAGAATCCCTCTCAGTGTATGACACCAAAATTCAGGACCAAACAGTAGGCTATTCAGGCTCTCAGATATAAAGTCTAGCTCTTAAAATTCAACTTTCTATTATTCCTAAGGAATGGAGAAGCCCTTTGTGTCGGATTTAGGTACCTAAACTTAGCATCCAATCCATAATTTATTTTTGCAAAGGCAACAATTTCTGAAGCCTGGTTATTTGACAAGTGAGAGAGTTATGAGCTCTGTGCTTCAGAGACAAGCCTGAACTTACAAACTTGGTGCTTTGGTTCTTCCATTTTCGTTATTAATATAATTCCTATAGTATTGTTCCTGAAAGGGGTTTTGGGGTTTTGGGGTTTTGGGGTTTTGGGG